CCCCAAAACCCCAAAACCCCAAAACCCCAAAACCCCATCAGAAATAAAATAAATTGAAAATACTTGCTACCAAAGTTGACTATGCCTCTGAAATTATGAAGAATAAATCAGGCTATATTTCAAGAAGTAGATTCGCATGAGAGTATGAAGCAATCTCAAGAACTCCTGAAGAACCCTTCAATGCTTATTACAAAATGCAAATAAAAATAAAAGAGAAAAAACCAATAATCAGAAACCCCACCAGCTAAGAACAGCTTCAAGAATGCATTGATCAAAACAGAAGATTGGTCTCCTGTGAAAGAGTTCACTTATGCTCCAATAAAGCCCAAAGAAATCTTGATGGGGAGGTCAGACTCAAAGATTATGATTCAAGATCCTAGTCTAGACAAAAATCTAGAAAAGTATTTTCTTTCTGAGCTATAGCAGTGCTCACATTAAGTATGCTTGCACAGGCAGAGGAGATAGACCTTATAACCTGAATTCAGTCAGGAACATCAATACAAAGCTGGATGAGTCATCAAAGCCAAAAAATAAAACCGTTAAGGACAACATCTTCTTTAATTCAGAGGCAGTTAAAAGCGGTAAGGTTCACCATAACCATAAAAGATTTTACAAGAAAGACGTTCAGTAAGGAATTGCAAGTCATCAAATGCATCGATCAAAAGTTAAAGAAGAAGTTGAAGTATGGTACTCGTCTCATATAAAGGATTCATAAATGGAAGATTAATTTTAAGGACAGACTAAAGAGGGGGTTCTGATCTAAGTAAGCTACTTCTTTCATAATGTAGATAGAAAACGGTCGAGATATGAGATAAACAATCTGAATAAAGCTCTAGTCAATAAGATAAAAACAACAAAGGCTGAGAAAACTTTAAAAACATTCAACAGGATACACAATAGTGTAGATGAAGGAGTAAAACTAAAGAAATCAATATTCGAAGGCGTTTGAAAAGAATATAATAACTATTTTGCTACTAATTGGATCGAAAAGAACAGAAAAAGGTTTGAAGTTAAGAAAGACAATCGAGTAACCTCTTCCCAAATCTTTAGACAACTGATGAGAAATACAAAGCAATGCCAAAGCAAAAGGTAACTCCGCCTTAATTTTAGATTGTGAATGGATATCGTTCAATTTTGAAGTCGCTGAATCTGAAATCAAGAGGAGGCCCTGAAAAACTGTAAATGTTCCTGAAACCTTTAGATACAAAAGAATTATTGAGGACAACAATGAAATTTCTCCAGAATCTTCTCCAAAATTTCAGAAAGTATTTGACCAAGCTTTGCTTAATCGAGGTAAGCAGAATTAGCACTAATTATAGAAAAATGGAAATCAACTTTTGGACATAAATTGCATTGGTTTGATAAAGTTGAGAGGACTCTAATTATTAGACCAGAAAGCTGGCGTTACCAATAATATGAATTCTTCAATTTGCTTCATCGGCTAAGGGGTTTTGGGGTTTTGGGGTTTTGGGGG